CGGGGCCGTGGGGTCTGAGGGGACCGCGGGGTCTGGAGATCTCCTGGCCTTGGGGGTCTAATCAGGACCGTGGGGTCTGGAGATCTCCTGTCCTTGGGGGTCTGATGGGGACCACAGGGATCTGGAGTTCCCCTGTCTGGGGGGGTGGGGGTGTCTGATGGGGACCTGGAGACGTCCTGCTATGGGATCTGATAGGCGACCCTGGAGCTCTCCTGTCCATGGGAGAGTGATTTGGAACAGGGGGGTCTGCAGCTGTCCTGTCTATGGGATCTGATAGGGAAGAGGGGGTCTGCAACTGTCCTGTCTATAGGGTCTGATGGGGAACAGGGGAATCTGGTGCTGTCCTGTCTATGGGGTCTGATGGGGAACAGGGGGGTCTGCAGCTATGCTGTCTATGGGGTCTGATGGAGAGTAGAACTGGCTGCCAGCTTGGGCAGAGCCTGAAGCCCCCCAGCCCAGAGGAGTCTGACCGGGCCTGACTCTGGCTACCTGCCCATGGAGGCTGAATCCCCTCATGCCAGGGAATGTGGCCAGAACCTTCCTGCCATTGCCCCCAGGCCCTTGCTCACCATGAGCGGACGCCATTCGGCCCTGGCCCCATTAAACCTTCTCCGAAGGGCCTGTCCCTGGCTGCTGTTCCTGTCATGGCCGAGCCGTGACAGCCTGTCCGTGGCTGGCTCTGGCCTCCGGAGAGGGAGGTGTTTCTCTCCCGAGGAGAGCTGTTTATGCCCAGTGATTTTTTTTTCTATTTTTTTTTTTTATTTTTTTTATTTCTTTCCCCTCCCTCCGTGCTCTCCTGCGTAAGCCACAGCTGCAGCTCGGTGTCTGCCCAGCCCGGCAGTGTCACGGCACGGCTCTTATGTAGGTGAAGCCGGGGAACGCTGCAAGGATCATGTGGAGCTCTCAGTCTCCTGAGCCTGGAGCTTTGAGCCTATTTATAGGTGGGTTGGGCAGTGTTCTGTCTGAAGGACTCGCTCCACGTCCGAATCCGTGGCAAAAAGAGGCGTCTTAAGCGATGGTGTTTTGGTTTTGGGTGGTTGTTCCTGGGAATGGGGTTTAGTGAAGGGCTCTGGAGCACGGGGTGTTAGTAGGTTATGTGGAGGAAAGGCGAGTCAGTTTGGAGTTAAGGAACGTGATGCCATTTTAATGCAACTTCTCGGGTGGCAGAGCAAACAGTAAGGGGATACTCGGTTCTAGATCAGCAGCTTTCGGCTCTGCAGGCATTGGACAACTCAGGGTCAGTGGGAAGCCACAGAGGAAAGGACATTGTGTTTTCTGTAGGCTTATGCTCATTATACTGTTTTCTGCACTGCTAAAGATTTTGTGGCCGACAAGCTGGAAAAAAAAAATGGAAGTTCACTATTCTAGATCCCTGAGATGTTTTGGTTTAGAATAAGTGGAGGAGGGGTGGAAAAAAGACCCTCAACTGTGTGTTTTGTTGTGTATGTTTCTATTGTACAGCTCAAAAATGTTAAAAATCAGAGTATTTTTAAGAGTTACATAACCTTTAGTAACGTGGTGAGTCTCAAGTAGCCTTCAAGAGTTAAATAACAGCAGATCAACGAGGCTGGGTTGAGAAGAGGAAGAGAGGGTTTTATAATGGTGAGGACTATACACAGATATTTAAAACTGCTTTGGTGTTGCACTAGAAACAAGTCCTTGCTTAGGAGGTGGAGGTTTTTAATACCCTATAAATACAGAACATGAGAAGGAGGATAGAAAGATGAGGTTTGCAGTTTTATGCTGCTCTAGTCCGGTAAAAGGATCAGGAATAGTTTGTGGTATTTCACGTTCTTCAGCTTCTCTACCATCTTGACTTTTTCAGTACAATTTTTGCAATCTGAAATGATGAGAACTTCCAGATATTGACCATTGTGGGTGAAGAAGGAAATCTGGCCTGAAAACAACAAATTACAGAAAGGAGTGAGGGGCGCTGTAGTGGTGAAAGAATTTGGTGACATGTCCTGAGGGAGAGAGAGCTGGTGCTTTGTGTTGGTTACAGAAGTAATTCGACACGGAGTTACCTACAGAAAGATGTTTATTCAGCCTGGGTGGTTTGTGCTGCCATATCCGTGTTATCTTTGTATTTTTGGGGGCAGGGAAGGAGCCCTGCCTTAACAGAGGAAATTATGGGGAGCAGGTGGCGTGCTGGAGATGTGAGGATACCTGGATATGCCTCAGAATTTGGAGTGGACGTGGCAGTGCTGGCATGGAATTGATGCAGCAGGAAATTGCTTTCTCTATTTTTGTTGGTGAGATGCAGTTAACGTAAAATGAGCCCTTTGGATCCCCTATCCCATTTCTCTTTAATATAAGTAAGATCATTTATCTTGTCAGGTGGAGAGAAGGGGAGAAAAGAAAAATACTTTGGTTTTGTAATTTGGTTCACCTTCTCTTGATTCCCTGTCAGCTCATGACAAGGCACAATGTGTGCTGCACACTGTGTTCCACTGAGCTGTTTTGGTGACAAATACAACGTATATAAAAAAAAAAGGGCTATGAAAAATAGGTATATTGTCAGTTTTTATAGGAACAATCTCCATTTTTCTCTAAGATACACAGAAAGTGTCATATTAGGGTCTTATGCCTTGTCAGTTTCGGTGGCAAAAAGGTCGATGTTTTAGTCTTCGTAAGTATTCAAAATGCAACTGAAAAGGAAATATTTAAATTAGTGTTTGTATTGGTTTTGCGGTAGGAATAGTAAAACCTTTTGTCAGTTTTAATAAAAAGGGAAATTGTGAACTTACTTTGAAAATGCGATTGTTCATGCTGTATGAGTCTGTTTATTGTTAAAATTAAGAGGATTTCTTTAATCCAAGTTAGATTTTAATTGCTGTAATCACGTGTTTACTATATTTCTTTTGTGTTTATAAATAAAAACACAGAATCATGGTTTTTTGACCTCGTGTATAGCATGACTGGCTGTAGCTCATGCCATATTTGCACGGTGTTTTTCCATAAACATCTTGCTCCTGGAATTATTAGTAGCTCCAGAATAAGAGCTTGAAAATATTGTCACATAAAGGGTTAGAGCACTTGCAAACAGGAATGCTGAAATTCAAAGTTAAAAAAAAAAAAACAAGCAGCCTCTCCCCAGCAGTTCTTTCAAGTCAGTTTGATGATAATTTTGGATCCCGACT